AATTCTAGAATGTTGACATTCTAGAATTGATTCATTCTATAATTCTAGAATGTTGACATTCTAGAATTCATTCATTCTATAATTCTAGAATGTTGACATTCTAGAATTCTGACTTTCATCTTCTGACTTTAAACTCAGAAGTCTGGATACCTGTAAGGAGCCAATTTCAGTGAGTGAGAGCCTGCCTTTGAGTCATGCTGGAGAGGCGCTGCATGATTCCCAAAAATAGGATTTAAGTGAGTTTTTGCGTGGTCAAGGAGTCCTAGAGGAAGCTATTTCATCTCAGAATTCTGTCCAGACACAGATGTGTCTACAATTCAGTGAAAAACCTATGTAAAAGGAGTGAAAACTGTGGTCATGAGGACAAGTTTTAGACACATTCAACAGCCTCACCACTCTAGGTGTGATATCACCACTACAGCCCCTGACTCTTTCTCTTCATAAAGAACAATGTACAGTATTTCTCATTTTCAACCATTTTAACAATCAAATAAATTTTAATCTTTTGAAAAGTACAAATGGAAGTTAAAAGTTTAATCTACAGTAGGGCAATCATCAGTGAGCCATGGACATCAATGACTCTGTTGCCAGTTCACCATTTATCCTTCCTTAGCCACTGTTGGTAGGTACTAACCACTGCAGACCAAGAACACCCACCAAGACCTGCAGGGTGGGAGATGCTCTGACCCAGTCATCTCAGCATCACAGTTTGGCCCTTTCAGATCCTTACATTTGCTCATTTTTTCCTGCTTCCAACACATCAGCTTTGAGGACTGAATGTTCACTTGCTGCCTAATACACTTTTTTTTTTTGGTCCCTGTGTTGTGAGTTAATTAGTTTTATTCCCTTCCCCTGCCACTGGTCATAATGTTATGCCTGATCGATGTATGGTCAACATTCTTGGTGATTAAAGCTGATTCAGATTGTGATTCTAAAGAAAAATCAAATTTGCACTTACCACAATGTCACCCTCCTGAGGAAGGCTGTTTGCAGGCAGACAACTCTTCTCTTCATTATTGTGGTACACAGACCCATCATGCCTCAGGACTAAGCTGTTTGTGTCTCTGCCCAAAGGCACTTGATTGAGATTCACTTTCTGTGTGGCCACGCCAACACCCCAGACACCTAAACACAAAGCACAACACATCCACTATTTTAAAGCAAATTTGAGCACAGAGACTAAAATACATTCATATATATGACAAAGGCCAGGTGAAATAAAATGTTGGCAAGAGTCTTGACAAAGGCCAGGTGAAATAAAATGTTAGTTGGCAAGAGTCGGTGACTAATGCAGGGCTGCATGAAGGCAGCCTTACATGAAAGAAAGCAAATGGCTTGCACCTTCATACACTGTCCTTGTAAATGAACAGAAGCTCACCAGTGAGCATGCAGACAAAAAAATGTTGTAGCTACTAAAAACTGCTGTATCTCAGAATAAATTAAGCACATAGTCAATCTGGCTGGTAAGCAAGGAAGAAAATGTATGGAAAGAGGGTGGACTTTAAGTCAAATGCTTACCAGTGGACTGGACCTTAAACTCAAAATAACTTTTGTTCTGGTGCAGAGGACCATTGGCCAGACACCCTCCAGTGCCACATATCCTACGGCCACTTTTTACAATGACAACATCTGTGCCTGAAAAACAAAAGCAAGAGTCAATTTTGCTATAAAACCACATAAAATTCATAAAAACAATTTTGGAGTGAAACGAACAATCTTCTTTGTGAACTATTTAGTCAAATACATTTGAGCTATCATGGTATTGTTGGTAAAATTTCTAAAAGACTGCCACCACATTTTCCTAAAACCCAAAATGCTAACTTGGGCAAGCTTTGTCCAACCAACAATTGAAAAATATTCATTTTGCAAGCTAGGGAAAAACAGCAAACAGCTATGACGCAGTATGAAACTAACACAAGGGTTGATATACACTTGAATCGTCCAGTACACATTAAGTGAATGAGGAGACATTTTGTGTCCAATAGTTAATAAAACTGAACCATATTGATATCAATGAGTGAGAAGGCGTTGATATGATTTTAACTACATTGTAAAACAAGGTTAACTGAACTTGTTGTGGGAGAAACGCATTCTCTTTCAGAATTCCCGAGTTTTTCCGTCAGAACACTAGGAACAGCTAGCTGTTAGCTGGCTAGCTAACCGTAACGGCAGAAGTCGCAAACATCACTTCACAGATACAGCCAACGACGTGCCTCTATATCAGCTGTACAGGATAAACACATACTCACTTACCCATGTGGTGAGTATCTAACTGGACCGTAGGCATTTCTTTGAGGGGAATATGCCCCGAGCCGCCACCACCGCAACAACCTAGACAACACGTAAACATCGCAGTCATTCTCGCCCCTACTCGTTTGACACCCGGAAACAAACTGAACAAACCAAAGAGTGCGTTGTGCGTCATGCGCCCATCACACAACAGCGACACACAGCGACAGAAGTCGGAGCTACATAAGCTCCTGCTACCCCACTGTATCCAATCACAGTGGCTAAGACAGGCAGTTGCTCCTGATGGCATGGAAACAAGGGAAGAAAATCAGGGTCAACATTTCTGCACGTGACTATTGGATGTCGAAGTTACATAACCACAAGTGAACATAAAGTATTTTTGGAGGGAGAATGGCAAAGTAGAAAAATGTTAAATGGTCAGTAGTGGACAAAATGCGGAAATGTTCATAGCAATTCATAGCCTAACTGGAGAGCATCCTCACAGATTGGAACATGAAGTCAACAGTGCTGATGCTAGTCTATCTGAGTTTCTGTTCACTCACTGTGCCCAGGCGATCTGTCTGTGCGACACATCATTGACCATTTTATATCAGTTAATTCACCTAGTGTTCTCACTTGCACCATTTATCATGTTACCTGTTCATACTATATATGCATATAGGCTACTGACAAGCACCTATAGGAGTGAAGCGGGCCAGTGTGAAGCCTGTGATAACAAACAGGGACTAAAACCTTGTTGACAGTTTTTCACGCTGTAATGTTTTGCATAGCAACAGCCCCTCCCCCATCCAACTGACAGGGATCCTGTGCACGTTACCCAGCAGGGAGAAAAACGTAAACATCCCAGTATTCAGAATTAAGCTGTCAAATAAAGCGAGATATCCGTATCTTTCATGTCGGTGGTACTATATTACACCCACGGACAAACATGTGTGCAAAAACACAGCAATTAGTGTCTCTTCAATCACCAATGCACCACTGAAACAGTTAACTCTGTACCCGGAAAGGGCGAAGTCTGCACAGCAACAAGCGCCATGATTGCGTTGCACTGAGCGTCTCAGCAGCTGGTGAGTGATTCTTTTGCTCCAGTAGTTGCGTGTTACTATGCGTTTGCAAAATCTGTCACAGCCCTCTCTCAGTAGCTTGCCAACAAGAGCAACGCTAAGGGGACTCATATTTGTCGATCATTTGTCTCGTTGGATTGATTAGGCGGTGGTAAATTAGGGTTCAGCTCAGCTGACCACACTATTGTTGTTCTGGAATACAAAGCGAGGAGAAAATCCTTTGCTACTTTAATTTACGACTGTAAAGTTGTTGATGATTTTGACTAATATCCATCTGGGTTTTGCGACGCATCTTGAGGTGTTTTACAACGACAGCTAGTTAATGGAGGACATCAAAAAGCAGGGTGTTGCTTATTGCGCACATTTTACGCGGGTACAACCTTGCACGTCAGTTTCGCTTTCAGGATGGGATTACGCCAGACACAGCTGGAACATAACTGCAGAATCTGTATCCTTTGCGATGTTACAGCATTTTGTGTCTAATTTATTAGCAGCATCTGTCTAAGGGGGGGGGATATGATATGCGTATTTATTAAATGTTGTTTTACTGGCCTTTCTTTGATTAACTTAAACAGTGATTTGATGCCTGGGCAATGTGTTTACAGGAAGCCATGGAGGAGCTAGAAGAGGAACTTATGTGCCCAATCTGCTGCTCTTTCTTCGAGGATCCACGAGTCTTGTTGTGCTCACACAGCTTTTGCAAGAAATGCTTGGAGGGACTCTTGGAAGGGAACCGAGGTCCAGCTTTTAGAGCACCTTTGAAATGCCCCACATGCCGCAAAGAGTCCCCTCACAACGGCGCAAATAGCCTGCAGATCAACTATTCTCTGCGCGGAATTGTAGACAAATACAGCAAATTAAGGGTCATGCCTAAAATGTCTGTTTGTAAACAACACTACGAACAGCCTCTCAACATATTTTGCGCCACAGACTCAAAGCTTATTTGTGGAATTTGCTTAGCAGATGACCACAAAGGGCATACATTCTGCTCCTTGGAGGAGGCATATAACAGGGAGAAGGGGGCGTTTGAAGAGCTGCTTCGCTGGGTGAAGAGCTGCCAGAGCGGAGATATCGTGCCCCGCCTGGAGACACTACAAACCAATAAGAAAAAGGCGCTTCAGTCGGTGACCAAAGAAGCAGAAAAGGTAACGGACTATTTCGACAAACTCATCAGTGCCCTACAATGTAAAAAGGATGAAATCCTCTGCGATTTTGAAACACTGAAACTGGAGGTGTTGCAAGCATACGACCCGAAGATCACCAAGCTGGCCGCAGTGCTGGAGGAGCAGGAAAAGGCGCACAGCATCGCTGAGTCTTTCAGAAGCGTCTCCGACCCCCTGTGCTTTCTGCAGCACATGCAGGAGTTTCGGGAGAAGCTGAGGATCATTAAGGAGACTCCGCTACCCTCACGGAAAGACATGTACGTCGGACCATTTGTGCGCAGCTTCGATGTCAAAAAGTGGGATTCACTAAGGCTTGGAGCAGTGGACAAGATCTCAGTCCCACAAGAGAGTGGCTCATGCCGAGCGGGGAGCTCACGGATGACAGCGTTCCGTTGGATCTACTTGTTTATATTCATTATATCCATCCCGGTCGTTACACTCCTGCTGCTGCCCCACAGCCTTGCAACAAGCTCACTGTTTGAACCAGTTCTTACTACAGTTTCCTCGCACTTTACCCACATTGGTGTGCAGCTCCTAGAAATGATTGACAAGTGCACAAGTTTGATAGGTGCAGGTCAACAATGTGTCATGAACTTAATTGACTACACTGTCACCTTTATTAGCAGTTGTAAGTTGTTTCAGTAACTAACCTGATGCACCTCATGCACTCAAGCTACTACGTTTTCAAACTGAGACACAGAAATGACAGGTATACACCTGAGTGGACGGAAACACCTGATTGTTTATCATGTAGTTTTATTTTTCGTCCAAGTTCCAACCTCAATGACGTCATAGACTAAAAGCATCAACCCTTAATCCTCAGAGGATGGAACCATTTATATCAGACCACAGCTTTCTTTCTAAAAACAAATGTGCAGTCTATTCCTTTTAATATGATTACAGTTTTATACCTCTTCGACATTATCATGATAAATAAAACAGAAATTGAAGACACATCCATGTTTATTTGTTTTTTTTTTAATGCGACAGGCCAAAGCACACAGCTACATACTGACACACGCGAGCCAATGAACTAATTGTACCATGCAGACCTCTTAAAAGAAAGTAATAAAACGAATGCACTGTGTACTTCATGCCCTCTTGCCCGCAGAGCGCGTCCGCATCACAGTGATGCTGCAACCTCTTCAAGGTTACAAACGTTACATAACAGGGCCCGTGTCAAATATTCAGCGGGCTGCAGAAACACCGAGAGGGAAAAACCCCACACTGTCCTGACATTTTTTCACGAATCCAACCCACACCTCTGTGTTCCCTCTGTCATTTCTAATAAAACTTAGGCAAGACTGCGTGATTGTCAAGCGGGCGGGGCAGTCACTTTATTTCTACACAAAATGAGCTTGAGGAGCTTCATGCGACTCACTTGTTGGATGGTTTATCCGGGCTACAGAGATGCACATCTGCAGGGTGTCAGATTAAAAGTACCGTGTAGACTAATATACTGTTAGGCTTCCGGATTTGAAAATGAACAGCCAAATGGAAGTTATTAAAATTAGAATAGCTGAGCTCATCGCCAGCTGTGGCTATTGATATAATTCAGAGCAAATGAACATCGACCAGTTATCCTTTCACTTATGTTGCCTGTTTTCCTGAAATACATTTTGGGGGGTTGAAAAATGGATCCTAAAATCAGACCACAAAGTGAATCTATGTCAACGCTGACCATATTTCAGGATGTACATGTACGTCATGGTGCCCTTGTAACTTTATTGCCAGGCGAAAATAAAAACACAACACTACCTTAATATTTTGTCACTGCACCCAAATTTAAATATAGCTTGGCAGACGTCAACTCGGCCCAAACTGATTGTGAGTGTCAGTGTAACTGGGACTTTTCTGATAAATCTATGGCGCATCACAGGCCCACCTTATATCAAAGTGGGCCCCTGATGGTTGATTTAAGTCACAATGTAAACAGCAAGTAGCTAAATGTCCAAACAATTAGGAATAACCCGTGAATAATCGCATCTCTGGATAAGGTCCCGCTGTCTTAAACCTCTTTACACAGTGGGTCTGAGGCTATATGATGGTATTTCCAGACCTTGTTGTGTTATTCCTGTTATTATAACGTCTTTTCACCTTATTTCCTATAGTTACAATATTAATTTCACACAATGACCGTTTTAGGTTTTTAAGTGCTTGCATGCCAGTGTAAGCGCATAAAAGTCCAGCGGGTGACCGTGACACTGAGTGTGCTATTCTACTATTATACTGTTAACTACAGGCTACACGGCCGATGCAAAATAAAATAAGCTAAAATAAGTCAAACTGTGAAATTCTACTATTTGCTGCATCCACATGTTGATGTGCCGTGTGGAGTCAAGTTTCCAACACATTAAATCACCGCACTTAGGAAACCATCTAAGAATTTACCAATTAGGCGACTACAATTAGCTTTTTTACCCAATACTCACTCAGAAAATGTATATTCGGAGATGATGTAGCAGTATGAAACAATGCACAGGGTATTATTATACGCAGGCAAATCTTTTAAAACAAAACCGGAATGTTAGAAAATAGGCCTATATATAATTTATATATGTTAGATGTATATCCTTTCCCATTTGCACAACTGCAATGCTCCAGTGATTTAAACCCGCCAATTTGGATTATGTTCACTCTTCTCTATTATTTTGCATCACATTTACCAAATAGCCCACCGTATTTCCGGGTTATTTATAGGTTAATTATAGTTGCACAAACAAATATTGAGATTTCGGAATTGTGAATAAAAAGACACGTAAGGCCAAATGATAAAACTTGCTGCAACATGCAAACTATTAGGCTACTGGACCTAGTCATTTCTTTCTCTCTTTACATTTTCAACAAAAAGCAAGATCTGGTCTATACGCGGTTGTAAACAGATGAAACCGCTGCTTCTTCTTTCCAGACACCAGGTTTGGAAGCTTTTGTTTAAAGGGTTTTTCAGCAGCAGGTCCGCCCGGAGCCGGCCGCCTAAAAGGCCAAAGATTTACCAGTGTTCGCCTCGCGACTCTAAAAGTCTACAAAAACAGCATAAATTACTTTTTGTTTTGTTTTTTCTAAATAATTTTAACTTATGTGGGATTTATCATCAGCCCATGTCCTAGTACGCATGGCCTTCGCAAGCATTTTAGTCCAGTTACAGGATGCCATATTCTTCGTTACAACATTGCATGGTTTCAGTGACTATCACAATATACTACCAAAGGTTTGTAATCATAAAAAATAAAAATAGTCCCTAAGCGAGCAAAACGATAAAGAGCCGTCAGGATAATCGGGCCTAAACCCGGTAGAGGTCGGTCTTGTTTTCCAAATTAAATAAAATACACTGCCTATTTAGAATTGTGAGGTAAGTATGGTGTACAAAGTATAATAAATATAATTGTATTCCGCAGTAAATGTGGGTCAGGGTTGCCGATCAGGTTGGACATCTGTGTCGCTGCTAGAAGGCCATGCAGGCAAAGTGCAAGATTTCTTTGTGGATGAGTAGTACTAGTGTGTCCGAAAAACTAAAATAAAAGTATTATTTAAATATCAACCTTCTATGCTATATCACAGTATTGTATTAAACTGGAAGTTTAACATGATCAAAACACATTACAGACCAAACTCGATTTAAACTTTTATTTTTGCAAGTGTGCAGACACAACAGTGGGATAAATGTAAAGAGAAGTGTATACGTTTTAACTAGCAAAACCATACTGTGATGGTTAACGTAATCTGTGTATATAATGCACCGATGAGTATCTCTTATGAAAACGAAAACAAACGAAGAAAGAGAAAAAAAAACAAAACAAAAAAAAAAACGGTGTGTGTGCTTGTGTTTTCATTCCACCAGGATGGTTTGAGTACACTTGGTTAGTTGCAAAGACTGAGTGGTCAGCTTTGCTTCAGCAGCACGATCAATACTGGAGGCTTCACTTAGTCTTAACTCCAATATTTACGTGCTGCTACAGTAAAGTGACCAGCAGATGAGAACAACTTATCAGGAAAACAACTATGAGGCATTAATTCAGACAGAGAACACTACTATATAGGCAAGAGTGCCAATGAACAAGCCAACTTTAATTATCACTAAAATAGTAGAAGAGAGGCCGAAGAACAGGATGTGTATTCAGGTTTTAATGCAGCAGCACAGTATGGCCTGTATCTCAGTGTAACCCACAAACCATTCCGTGCTGCTACAGCATCACCAGAAATAAAGTCACCGTCCCTCAGCTTCAAGCTCTTTTCATCTTCTGTGTTATTTGCACTCTCTTCTTCCAGGCTTCAAGTCCTTGTCATGTTCAGACGGGTACAGACGTACTACCTATCATGTATCTACCTAAAGATGTTCAGATGATCACCAGTCTCTTCTGCAGACTGAAGTCTCCTGTCCACTTCAAAGGCAGGCAAGGTGGCTCTCCATCTGAGAAAAACACACACACACACACACAAAGTTTATATGTAATTCTTTGAAAATTTCAGTGTCAATTATCCAAGTGCACTTTGTGGCCAAAAGTATGTAGACACCAGAAAATTACTCTCATGTAGTTGTTGAAGCTCTCATTTCAAAGCCATAAGAATTAGCAAATTGCAGAACAGCCTCTGCTCTTCTGGGAAGACTTTTCACAAGACTTCTGAATCTGGTTGCAGAGATTTACACCAATTTAGCCATATTGTGATGCTGGATGTTGATGTGGGGCGATAAGGCCTGGCTCACTGTCAGCTTCCAATTCATTCCAAAGCTGCTGGAAGTGGTCTGGGCTCTCTGGGCCAGTCATGTTCTCCAAAAATGAGAAAGACATTTCTTAATACATCTTGCTTAATATTGAAACATTAATGGGCCTTCCCCAAACTCTTGCCACAACATTGGAAGTACTGTTGTCTAAAATGTCACTGTATGCTGTAGCATTAGGATTCCCCCTGATTGGAAACAAGCCTAAGGATACAGCTGTTCACATACTGGCCATACAGTGTACTCGAGTAATTTCATATCTCAACTCCAAGACTGTGTGCAGACTTCTTTTTCAATAGCATTAAACATCTGTGTTGCAAAGACGGCTGCTTGTCAGTGAGTGCAGTGTCTCATTCGGCAGTTGAGCACGCTTGGGTTCAAAGATAATTACTACTCAGCTAAGTGCTCACCAAACAGAGCTCAATGTACTCAACCCTGAAAAAAATTGCCACAATATTTAAAGTTACTTCTGTGAAAACTTTTACTCTGGCTGAAAATGCATCAATTTCTTAATGAAGCAAGAGTGGCCTATTATAGGAGAAGTCCCATGTCTGCACAAGTGACAGGAGATATTTTGTTTGTTGAAGTGTCACTGAGCAATCACTAAATCCCTAACAGCATCAGAGGGACTGTTCAATAGCTGACCACACATGTGGAAGTAAGCATGTAGAAAAAAAAACAAACTGTTATCCCACTGGATCAATCCATACACTAACGCCTTCCTTTCTAGTTTACAAGGATTCCATTGTAAACAGCAGCAAAAATTAAGCTATCGCCTTTAACAAAACCTTAGGTTAAAGTGTGAAAATATATCCTGATCACAACTCTGTAGGAGTGGGTCCAACGGTTGTTGCCACTAGAGGTCTCAGTGGACCTGTAATCATGACCTTGGTCTGAAATGGACCTGATGCCTGCATCTAATGACATCTCTAACATACGTCCCTTGCAAAACTACAATGACAAAACATGCAGTCTTCTCTCAGACACAAAAACTCCATTGTAGCTCACAGAACAAGACTGATATATATTATTTAAAAAAAGTTCTGCTACACATAGGCTCCATTTTAGGGCAAATAATTTTTTTTCCTAAAAAGTCACTTAATACTCTGTGTAAGCTCAAAAGAAGTGATACTACAATGTTGGAGAAATTCTAAGATGCACATCATCTATTTGTAATTCTTACAATATACACTGCTCAAAAAAATAAAGGGAACACACGGGAAAATAAGACATTCAACTATGTAATGAACAAGGAAATTAATAAGAATATTTCATTCATTCAGATCTAGGATGTCTTATGTTGTGTTCCCTTTATTTTTTTGAGCAGTATATGATTTGTCCCATCTTTAAATGCCTAATACATGTAAATTGAGGTGATGATATGGATATATATGGATAACTACAGATGAAATAGTGTTAGTTAAGCAAAGGTAGAGAGCATAGGTGCAACAATGCAAACTATAGTCAGACACACCTGACAGGAGGGTGGGAAGAGAAAACCAGTGAGTCCAGTGCTCTCTCTTTTTTATTGGTAAGTAGGAGCCTGGGAGTTTAACTGCACACCATTTATCCCACAGCATAAAAATGCAACCATAGCACAGGGTGCAAGCTAATTTAATATTAAAATAAAGAATGTCCTCGGGAAATTGTATAGTTTACATTTAGTATCAATTTTACAAACTACAAATTGTAGCAAAATTTGCTGATAGTTCTGAATGACAAATTATTTTTCAAAAAATGATTTTTACTGGATAACTAATGCTGCAAAATTGGTTCTGGGCACTTCATAGAGGAACATAGTTAAAACATCACACAAGGTAATAAAAAGTCAACTAATTATACTCATGGCATTTGATACATCAGCCATCACGTTGTACTGTGGTTAATTCACAGCTTCTCATTAGGGGTGTCAGATCTGTGGAGTATGACAAAATCTCCTTGTATTAGTCCTGGTCTAATCGAGTCCACATGTCTTGCCAACAAAGAGGGAGCAAGGACAGCTTTTGGAAGTAGTGCCTAATAAATGTTAAGTGAGCAACAGGAAAAAAAAGAAAACAACTAAAATAAATAAATAAATAAATAAAAAGTTTAAAAAAAAATCTGTCAGCAGTTCGTTACATCAAAATGGTACACATCTGCTGGTTTCAGCTTCTCAGACATGGGAATTTGCAATACTGCCATAGCTGCTCAGACAAAATAAGAACATGAAAACAATAATGTGTCCTAGAAAGTTGGGAACTTGGTGTTGGTCATTTCTTCTAACATTTGAAAAACAAATTAATAGAATAATACAAAAAAAAAAACCATTAGTAAATTAACTGATATAGAATTTTTGTTAGTTGCAGCCCTAAATCTAAGTTACAAGTAGAAACCAATTTTAAGGCAGTTGATCTTTCAGTAGAAAACAGCCTGTGTCCTCCTCCACCTGACACTTAACATGTGGGAGCACAAGCTGTATATGATAGGAAAAAAGAAAGAAACAAACACGCAATGTACACCAACTCAAATACAAAAAAAATTTGCTGAATCATTTCCTTATGCCACTTGTACAGTCCTTCTTTTAGCTGATGTACTCAGAGGCTGAGACAGTACTGAATGAATTAAACTGAAGCCACCATGAAACATTTTACCTTGCCTGTCATTAGATCACTCAACAAAAATATAGGAAATAAACTGGTAAGTCGTGTAACTTCTTTTTAAGCTGATAAAATCCTTTACAAGTTCAGGTGGAAGCGTGCACATCAATGAATCTAACCTCTCCCTATTTTTCTCCCTTTCCTTTAAGGAAGCATGCCCAGACATGTCACTGTCACCGCTCAGCCTTTTTAACCCATTCCTATGACATTTGCTCTCAACACAATGGCCTCAAAGAGTCACCTGACCTCAAGGTTGTAGGTCAAGTAACCTCCTACACTCCATCGGGTATAGAAACATGGACATGACAGCTCATCACCTCCTCAGATCAAGTGGTCTGGCCTGGCCTCTTCTCATGTGTTACACAGTCTTCTGCTAGTATAAGCACAAAGTAAAGGGAGACCTGCAATGACATCTTAAGCTGTAGAAAAAAAAAAAAAACAACATGAATGGCAATCGCATCAATCTACATGAAAACATTTGTGCAAATGTGAGATTCTCATTGTGTGCATAATGCTTTCTATCTTTGGCAACTACTCCAAGTTAAATATTTGCAGACAAAACCGCCTCGGATGAAAGCCATAACAATAAAAAAAAAAAAAAAAAAAACAGATACTGATTAATATTAGTTTCAGAGTATATTTACCCAGAATACTATAAAAGTAAAAGCAGATGCACTTTTTCTTCTATTTTAACTCTGGCATGTAAGCAAATATGTCCCTACACAATTACAATTCCATCACTTGTAAAATTTTAGCTAGATAGACAGCAGGTATTCTGTAATCACTGTTCTCCTGTATTTGGGAAGGCATTACTCATAAATGTTACAAAGTTAACTGTGCCACAACTTTAGAAGGTGTGTTTCATCAGCTACTGGGGCAGCATGTACACAGCATGAGATCTGTTCAGTAATAAAAAGTTAATTCAGAACCAATTCCTTCACAGTAGCAAAGCTACTGATTGTGACATGTCAAAGATGAATAAATTAATATCACCTCTAATAATAATACTTTGAGAGGGTTTGAAAAACTAAAAAACAAAACAAAAAAAAAAAAAAACCCGGTGGTGACAGTTATTTGCAAACCAGGAATACTGCCTATGAGAAGTGCTCTGTTACATATTAAGTGTTAATCCTAGAAAAACCTGTTACATTTGCACACCCAGCAAAACATGTCCAGCACAGTGCAACAGAGTGACTGGGATTCCCTGGAAACCTTAGCCATGTCCCATCAAATGTATTACAGAAAACACCAGAAACATGTTAAAATGCATACCTGGGGTCGACAACTGAACAACCCTAGTTCCCAGGATGTGAGAGTGACTTCTGACTAATTTTTGCAGTCTGCAGGTATACACCACCCTCTCCATTTACTGTCAGGTGTAACTGTGAGAAATGGACTTGTTACACTCGAGGTATACAATGGTTTCACCGGTGAATAAAGTGATTTGAAATACTGTACTAGAATCTAATTTGTGGATTTAATAAGTGATCAATTAAAATGTAGCCAATGCATGAAACTGACTGATGAAAACACAATGATCATCTAACATGTAACATAATGCTAAATATAATTCATTGTGCTTGTTAGTAATAGTTAATGCCTTGTTTGTTTGTTTTTAGCGCTTCCAGTGAAAACATGGAGCACAAGAATTTACCAATGACCAACACCAGTGTCTGTTATCTAAACACACCAGTGTGTCCATGATGTGTCTGGTGAAATATTTTATGTGAACAAATAACTGCTGTACCTGCTCCTACTGTATAAACAACGTACTTCATCTTAGTATTACGTATTCCACATCAAATTTATTTTGGATCTTTCCAGTTAGTTACTACATCTGAACCATCTCCAGCTTCCTCCTGCTGCCACAAAAGCAATAAACAGGATGCAAACACAGCAGCCCACTGTGAAGCAATTTCAGAAGTACAACATGAGAACCTGATTTAAACTTGACCAATAGCATTA